CGGCCTCGCGCACAGTGCACGGGCTTCCACAGCACTTTGTCTCCATTGAGAAGTGACTGCCAATGCTGGCAAAATGTGTTATAAGATTCCTTTTTCCGGCAGTATTATGCGTGATGTTGATTCGTTCACGCTTCTGTGCTTTCTTTTTGTGCGTCATTTGTATTTTTGTAAGAAATTTACTATTTACCATGTGGTGAGCGGGGTATATTTAGTTGTAAATTCTCGCCTGCAGCCGTTTACTGTGTCTATTCTTGTTCACGTTCACCCTCTCTTGCGGCTCATACCCACTGTGAGAGAGATTGGCAAAGAATTTGGTGGTATTGTAAAATAAAAATAAATTTTAGAGTAATAAAGGTTATAAGATACAAATATTACAAAATTTGTGTCTATTCCTAGGAATTACAGCGCGAGAACATTAGAGCTCGTTTTTCACAAATTCCGGCGTCGGCGTGGGCATCATTGGTTGGGAACAAAATATCTTGTCTGAGAAATCTTCAGCGAAAAATTGAGGAAGGTGCAAGTGTAATGATAAATAATTCCGGGTCCTAGTGAGGATCGAACCCAGGCCGTCTGCATGGCAAGCAGGTGTTCCACTACAAATTTAAAATATTGGAAACTACTTGAAAAAAAATACACCATATCCGTGAGGTGAATCCGGAGGCCATGCTCGGAGCACGCAGACGGACGGTGAAAGAGGAAGCGCGCCAAGAGCGAACGCATTTTAACGCAAGAGCGAACGCAGTCTCCTATCACACTAGTGCACGCCATGGAGAACGGAAAAGGAGCACACATATTGTCATATACGAGTATATGACAATACTCGTATTCCATCATATAATGAGCTGGTCAGCTCTTACTGTGTTTCAAAATACTTATGTATAAGGCTTTCGCTTTGAATATTGGAATGTGTACTGCACAAAATGCGCAGTTCACGTGAAAACTTGAAGCAAGTTTGAAGCTCATTTTCTTCGCCACTTTTTCGAATAGTGAAGCAGTTTTGAATGATTGTTAATGCCAGTTTGTCAGTGGTCACCAGCGTAACCGCACGCGCAATGATATTTTGTCGACGGCCACCCATCAGCTGGCATCGGTGGCCAAAATGCATTCTGATTGTCGACCATACGTGCGTGAATTTCCTTCAAAAGCCCTTCAATACTACTATTTCTTGCCTTCCGGCAAGAAACACGTCGAACAGGTCGCGTACATGCTGAAAGTAATCGCGCCATTTTTCGTTGTAAAATTACTGCGCAGAAAAGCGAACTTTTGAGCTGTTCGATCGTAGCATGCATCTGAAAGCTGTGGTGGTGGAATCTGCCCACCGCTGCAAAAACTGTCGTTAACCGCGTCGTTTTGTTCGTGCTCAGCGCGTGCGGATTGGTCTGCAGCTCGTCGCGCTTGCCAGAACATCACGCTGTATTTCTCCTGCGCGCATGCGACGAATGGCTTCGCTGCCCAGCAGTTGAGCGTAGTGGCTGACCTATGCGCAACTCAGCTCCCTTAGGGAGCATATACAGTAACCCTAACGTGCATGATGCCGCAGCGCCATCTAGTGAAGACTCCTGGAACTAGAAGTGGCTACGAAAACGCCAGACTTGTCTATACGCCTAAAGAAGCTTCGTCCCTGAAAAAACAAAAAAAAAACAAAAAACGATATAAATGTAATGTGTTGAAAGGGTTTTCCCTAACACGTATACTGCGTGGCAGAATCGTGGGTGTTTGAAGGCCCGCCCTTTGCAAAAATGCAGACATTTTAACGCGACAGCGTTAAAGAGCTCGTTTCACAGAAATTCAGTCGTTGGCGCCGTTGGTAGTGAGCGAAAAGTCATCATTGTATACTAAATTAAAAATTATATAATTTTAAATATATTATTATAAATTATAAAAATATTCTAGGTAAGAGTTGCGATCGAATCAGGATCATTCGAGTCCGAGTGGGGATCGAACCCGGGCCATTTGCGTCGCCAGCGGGTGTTCTAACACACGGCCACGCGTCCGGATGTGAACACAGTGAAAAGAACTTCCTCCGCGGGTGAATTCAGTTTGTCCTTCAAAACCAGTGGCACGTGCCCACTCTGGTTGTGTGTGGGGCCCACGGGACGGCTTTTTGCTCTCCCATAGTAGAGTACCAGCTACTCTAAATCGTCAACAACTCTTTCCAAACACACAATTCAGTGAAGTAGCACTAATGCTTCACAAACACACGCGTCCTGTATGCATGCTTCACAATGCAACATGACATATTGTAGTAATAATGCGTGGTACAACCGCCCGTTACCAGCGGGCATCAGGACACGTGATAATCATAATGGCTTTGTGGCTTAAAGCCGGTCACGCACTACAGTATACATGCACGCAGCTGCGCCTATTCCCACAAGGCCACGTAGTGGGTGCACAGCAAGTTCGAAAAGCTTTCATGCACCGCGTGTTTGAAGTGCGCACTAGGAACAGTATATCGCTATCGCGTCCATCTTTTTTGAATGCGGTGCTTAAGGGTCGCCTAATTTTTTTCTTTTATCAGCAGCAGAAGCATCAACAAAGTGAACAGCTGCGTAGGTTCGTGTGTTGCCCAAGAGACGTGTAGTGGGCCTTTTACTGATTCGAAAAAGGAAGAATTATGGCGAAGTGGCTTATTAAGCAAATTCTAAACATCAATTTTAAACGTGTTCGAAATTAATGCAATTTCAATTCAAGATATATTATTCTCTCCGGTCGAAATGGCAAAAAAAAATATTGCACTCTTTCTGTATTTACGTGTGCTTTATCCTTCTTCTGTTAGGATTAGGTATCATTTGAAAGGCCTTAAGTTTCATATCCTCGATTCTTGGTCAATCTCCCTGAGTGGGCAAGAGCCATAGTGGAGGCATCATCATCATCATCTGGGCTCTTGATACGAGCCATGGCTGTGGGCTCTTGACCACTGGGTGATGGGACGAGAACGGGAGCATTCAGCATGGTATGACCGATCTTGGACAACTCTTCTTGCAATGGACATTCAGTGTTCATTTGAAACAGCCAATGTTGTGCGCCCAGTTTTTCGTTTCTTTACAACGTGATTGAGGTGATGCACCTAGAACCGAATCAGGTTAGCAATAAAAAAAGTCGATGCGTGCAAGACCAGATTGCTCTATTGCGACCTAATCTAGAAGTTGAAGCCCAAGCATCCTCCAATTAAATCTCAAGATGACCCCAGGGAGATGCGTTCCCTTATATTTCTACGAATGGCTGCAGATTAGCGCGCCACCTCTTAATTAGAAGCGTATTGAAGAATTTTGTTGCGTATGCAGCCTTATTAGGAGCGGAAACTTGATCGACGCAAGTCAGGCGGTGTATTTTGATAGGGGCGTACTGCTATAGCACCGCCTGCCCCACCGCGGTAGTCTACTGGCTAAGCTACCCGGCTGCTGACCCGCAGGTCGCGGGATAGAATCCCGGCTGCGGCGGCGGCATTTCCGATGGAGGCGAAAATGTTGTAGGCATGTGTGCTCATATTTGGGCGTGGTTAAAGGACCCCAGGTGGTCAAAATTTCAGGAGCCCTCCACTACGGCGTCTCTCATAATCATATTGTGGTCTTGGGACGTTAAACCCTACATATCAATCAATCTAATAGCATCGCCATATGCTTAGACGTTAGGTACACGTTCAATAACATCATGTAGTCCGCAATCTGGAGCCTTCCAAACGGAAGAGTAAAACGCCTAAATGTCTCGGCCTATCATCATCATCATCATAATCGTTGTCATCATCATTATTGTCGTAGAGTCTGTTGAGACACCCGCTTCTACGTATAAAATAAATACAAAAATCGCATGTTATCGTGGATTTCTTGAAACGTTTCACGTGATTCGTGACGACATTGATTGCTCTTTCCTTATCCGTATGCGACCTACGAAAAGACAGTTCAAATGTGAATATGAAAACAAGTCACCTGTGTTTTACCTGCATTCGCGGAGTGAAACTTCACTAACTCCTGTTCATCTTGCCACTCACCAAATCAGGCGAAGACAACCGTTATTCTCGTATAGAAGGTTGTTTTAACCATAGAGTTTCCGAAAATTACCTAGAGGGTACTCTGGCGCTGCAATCGTTCAGCGACCATGGCAATGATGGGTAGTACTTCGTACTTGTGGGTGGCGAATCCTGCTTGCGGCTTCGTTTATTGCTGGTTATGGTTTCGTTTTGAAGAAAAGACCGAACCTTTTTGAACTTTGTGACTCGATTCAAAGTAAGCCTAAAACAATAAGGTTGTGAAGGGCAAACGCTGAACATTTGCTAATTTATTTAATTTTGTGAAAAAACAGCTCGAAGCCACACGCACACGCATGGAGCCAGAAGCAGGCCAGAAGTATGAAGATTAGACAAATGTCTGTACTAACCATCATTCCCATGCTCGCTGAAGCGCCGTGCGTTGCAGCGCTAGTGGCGCTAGTGTCCCATAGACACTAGCGCCAGAGCTCTCTCGAGTGTATATTAGGAAACTCTATGGTTTTAACGAAATATTATAGTACAGATAAATATCAATAAAAATAACAAAAAACCATAACCCATTCAGTACGTCACTCTATTTCACTAGAATGTGGCAAGAAATAATCGCACTCATCGGCTTACAGCTACAGATAACATTATGAGAGATACCTTGCTGCAGAACTTCGTTATCAACTTTGACCAGCTCAAGTTGCTTTTTCACGTCTGAGGGAGTGCATCGCCTAACCGCGCCTTATAGATAGCATCGCGTACACGTGATGCCTTAAGATTCACGGAGTATGGGCACGGTAAGCCCAAAAAATTAAACGCCCACGAGACTGAAGAAACTGCTACATACTCTCACTGCTACGTCAGGTAGTCTTCACTTAAGATTCGTGGCCTCTTCTGAAACGCCTCAACAACTTTCACACTGTGCAGCTCAACCGAATACAGTCGCACGTTTCTAGGAAATTCAGTTGTTTTTGTGTTTTATAGACCTGTGACGCCGGCTGTCTCTTGCATGCATGCATTTGCGCAGGCCTGGAAGTGAACTCGGCCAACATCCGCAGGTGGATAGATGAGCAGGACATTCAGAAGCTCGAGGGTGCCGTCTTCGAAGGCTACGGCGAGAGGCTCGCACAAGAACCCTCGGTTCTGCACGAGCAGGTGGGTGCTGCTATACGAACGTCTTCAATTGGACTGGTTGGTACATCCTCACTTTGCACGAAGACGCACCGCTCGAAAAGGGTGAAGATGAATGAATTGAATTGAATTGAATCTTTATTTTCATGTTTGAGACTGCATGAAAGATAGCGGGAGTAAAAGCTGTACTAAAACAGCTTGACTAGCTCCCGCTACCTAAAATGAATGGGTCGGAAGCATTGGCATACAAATAAAAAAAAACATATATACAGAAATATGGTAATGTCAATCAATATGTTATGAGTGTGTTATGTTATAGTCATTTAATCCAATTAGTTATCTCCTGTTTTATCACTTACATGTAAATATTTTGAACTACCATAAGTTTCAATAATAATTTTCATTACGTTCATTTTGTTTTATTCGCTTGCTGTTTTTTCCTTAGTTGCTAATCTTTGTCATATATTTTTATACATGAATTCACAGGAAGTCCCCCTGACAGTTTTTACTTTGGGACCACCTTCTGTATTATATCAACTTTTTACGTGCACTGTATATAACTGAATAAAGAGCTTTACTAATTTTCAAAAAAATATAATTACAAAATCTAAACGAAATCAGACACCGTAGTTGTCATAAAAAGGCTATGTAAACATGTCTTATAGAATGCATAAGAGGTCAAACTGGTACGAAAAGGTAAACGACATCATGAATATTTATAAGAACAATGATGCAACATTTTTTTTGTCATATTTTCTATATTTGCATCAATGCTGCCTAAATAATTCAACACTCTGGGAATAACATTGCGTATCATTTGGTTGCCATATCTTGTGCGTGACCGTGGTACGGTCCCGCACAAAACAAAATAAAGCGCTAACGATCGCACCGTATATACTCATCTATAAGCCACCCTAGTGTATAGCCCGAACGCCCTCCCCCTTCTTTCAAATACAAGAAGTTGAAAAAGAAAAAAATACTGGGAAGTACTAAAACCACGGGCTCCAAAATTGCCCGAGGCCATTCGGTGCGTCGTTTGTGATTGATTGGACTGCTTGCCGAATCCGTTATGTTGTGTCAACCGCCTCACTCTAACATCGTGTAGCAAAGGACGATCAGCTCTGGGAGCGTGCCGATGAGGTGAGCTCCTCCCACAGTAGTTAGACATTGAGTAGTGCAATAAAACGTTGATATCTGTCAGCATTTTATAAATTATCCTCCATAGTAATTGCAGTGGAGCTACATTTTGTTGGCGCAGTCTGTGTATTACCCGCTCACGAGCACAAATTGATAAAAAAAGTGAGGCATATACACGGGTATATACGGTATTTTATTGCACATGCGTATCAATGAATATAGAAAAAATGTCAATCAGTATACATATCGTAGAACAAGATATATTTGTTATATGCCAAGTCCCAATTTCAAAAGATACATGATTTCATTTTTGTAAAGTGATACAAAAAAAAATACGCTGACACATCCTCCTCTTTTCTGCTTGCCAAAAGCCTGAAAGATTTCAGGTGGCCGTTGGTCTGAAAAAGTGCGTAGTATTTCATCATCTTTAAAAACTGGCTCACAATCATAATTTTTACAGCGGTATGCAAGGTGGCTATACTCACAGACCCTTTTAGCGAGTACGCGTGTTCTCGTAACCTTTGATTGATGCATCGCCCTGCTGTGTAACACCGTCCGCAAGCGAGAGAAATCTTAGAAACAACGTTTCCTTGCATTTAACCGATTCTTGCCCGTCTCCAATGACCTAGCGTGCCGATGCGTGTTCAGTTGAGCCCGCATATGTCGAACACACATAACGAACTGCTGTGTATAGGGAGCACTTAAAATTCCTTCCAATATATTTTTGTTGTACAAGGTATACATCAAATTACCGACATAATACAATGAAAATGGTAAGTTGGGTGGGATGGTTGAACATTTATTTACACACAAGAATCGGACAACGCACCAAGTAGTAGAAGCTCTTCATATTGGAAGGAGAAGTAAAGATTGTGCGTGTTGACCCTCCCTGTCACTGTGCCATGGCTTCTGGCGTCCATGTTCATTCATCCATCTTCCTCAGTGTCTCCTACGACATCTTACCAGCAATCATGCATATATGTATATTGTAAGTGTTATTAAAATAAACTTAAGTGGCGAAATCAGCAAATGTCCTTCGCCTATAGTAACACGCTGTTTCATATATAGAACTACATTGCGATTCCCTTCAGATTCAATATATTTAGCTTCAACGGTATGTAGTGCTGATTTCTACTGGTTTGTTAACGTTGCAGTATAGTGAACAGCACATTTACAGTGCAATTCACTGAAGCATGGTTTGAAGCTACGATTTCCGCTTAATGCATATTGTCAATATACGTTAATGATATCGTCAATTCGCCCTTGCAATCCTAATAACTTCCATGAGTAGCGAGGCTTAATCGCACACATTGGCCTTAGAAATTTCAGGAGGAACGTCTGTATTACCAATCGGCGCTCGACGCAATGTGTCCGCGCAAGAATACATGCACTCTGAAGCGTGAGTTCTTATGCATCAAGTGGGAGAGCTTTGTCACATGCATGCCACATAAAGCAGTACTCACTCGCGGGTCAATCGGGCCACCAAGAACAGCGTGTCCGGAACGATCATACCCTAAACCACGTCACTCGTACACCGTTCGTGCAGGTAGAGCAGTATCTGAGGAAGGACGTTCCTCGTTTGCTGGAGCGCATCCAGGCCATCCACCGGGCGGTGTCGGAGGATGACGTCCGCGCCCTCGAGACACAGCTGCAGAGTCCAGACTACGCGTTGGCCAGGGACCACCTGGGCATGACGCCACTGCACCGCGCCGTCGTGCTCGGAAGGCACGATGTGGTGCGGCTACTCGTCGACCGCTTTCCGGAAACCATCAATGCCAGGGACAGGGTGGGTTCTCGGCTTCCCGACGTGGTTCCCGAAGTGCGACGATAATTGTAGTGAGGTTTACGCCATTGGAACCTTTGGATGGTTTCCAATGGTAGCCAAAAACGAGGAAATCGCAGATACGCGTGGCGAATTAATTTTTTTCAAGCATGAATGCGAAAAAAAAAATAAAAAAAGAAGCACCAACGTGCGTTTCTCAATGACCTGCCTTTGGTCCGTGCCGCTTCTGGTGTAAAGACGGGAAGTAAACCGTCCTTTGTATTTGTAATCCACATTAGAGGCCTTCGGCAGCCATAATCGTCAAAAAACCTGTGTGACCATAACCCTGCTCTTTCACGGCCGGGCTAAAAACGCACGTTCTGTCTTCTGGCCTTCGCAATGAAGTTTGTAGCGTTTCTCCGTAGTAGCATGGCCTGCAGTCACTAACGCAACGGGGAGCAATGGCAGGGTCACAGCGACAACACGGTGCTGCGGTGGGAGGTGGAAATGGACGTCCGTTGCGCGTCTGCTTTTGCATGGCCTGCAGTCACGAACGCGACGGAGAGCAATGGCAGGGTCGCAGCGACAACACGGTGCTGCGGTGGGAGGTGGAAACAGACGCATTGCGAAAGCCGGAAGACGGAACGCTCGCGTGCCTTTCCAGTCCGGCCGTGGCTCTTTAGGGTCAGGTTCGGTTAGGCTAGTTAGATTAAGTAAGGTCATTAACGGTATGGGGCAGACATCGCGCGCAATGGGCCGAAAAGATGAAGGGGGTGGCCGCATCCCCCGCACCCCCCTCCCATGCGCACGCCTCTACTAACAAGTGGATTTAAACCCTGGAGGTGGTGATAATTTCGTTGCAATACTGTGTGGCGGCGCTCAGGGTGAAAAAACAATGAAAAATGTGTTGAACTTAAAAAGCCCGAATCAAAACATGGGTTGTTTCAATATACACAGTTTTCTTCGAAGTAGGTGTCACAAAGAAAAAAAAAGAACGAACAGTTCCGGCAAAAATCGAAAAGCTGATATTCGATGTTTCAAGCTGGCTCCTTTGCGATGTCCATGTCGCTGGTTGTTACTCAGTTGCCATAAGCTGTGCAAGCTAACAAGGACGAACAGTATGAAGAAGGGCTGAAATGTAAAGGAGGAACGTTAACAATAAACCAGTGCATTAATTTTTCATGTCTCAGGAGAACGAAGCGCCTCTTAACGTTTCTTTATCAATTTGTCAATTTTTGCAGGAAGGACGTACGGCTTTGCATTACGCGGCGGCCGCTTCCCGCAGAAGTGGTCGGGCGGACATGTACAGGCTGCTGCTGCAGAATGGCTCAGATCCAAGAATCAGGGACAATGTGAGTTGTTGCTGCATTGCATTAGCAGGCTGATTTGCATAAGTGCCACAACACGATCATTGCGATTCACCTATGAAACGTGAAGTGCCCGGGACCGCATCAAGAATCTTTTAGCGTCAGCATTTAGATGGCCGATTAAAAAAAACATTAGGTATTCATGTCTCCACTGACGTGAAGACGGGCAGACGTGTGTAGTGCTCAACCTATGAAGCAATGAAATGATTACCGCAAGGGTATTTTACAACAGCAGGGCGACTGCGTTGTCTACATATGTGCGGCGTGCCTCTCGTGATATCATGTAAATATGCTAATGACTAATGAAAGCATCTCGAATAAAAAGAAAAAAACGTTCTTTGACTGTATTTGTTTCTGTCGGCATTATGACTTTTTTTCTGTGATCAAGCTTTAAATTGAAGCAGCTCCCTAAGAGCGCAAAAATGTACGAAAAAGAAAGCTTTCTGCGTGGTTATATGGCAATACAGCGGAGTGAAGTTTGCCAGTAAATCATATTTTAATGTCAAAGCTAGGAAACCAGTGCCAGTAGGACGCTTAGTGAGGAGCGCGTAACAGGTCACCTTCTTGTCGAGCTTAGTAATCACAACAGTTGGTCCTGACCCTGGCTATTACCCTGCCTGCCTAGTGCATTTGTCACGCTTGTGTAAGAAGTTCACACAAGTGCGTCAGTTGACCATCGAGTTGCCACTTCCCACAGTGTAACACTTGATTTCTCGGCGCAGAGGGGCAAGTCGTCGGAATACTACAAGACACACCATCTGCAACTGGCACCCGAGGTGGCCCAGATGAGCACCAGTGCCAGAGCCAAAGCCAGGAGTCGCTCGGAGCCCCCGGGGTCCAGACCAAGGAGAAACTGTAAGTGCGTGGGGCACTTGACTGTACGTATAAGGCCTCTAAATAATTCAAATCAGAGTTCAAGGACGAGAGAGTGGTTTCTTTTTTTTTAACCTTCACTACCCTTACTGCATGTGCCATCTCACCCTTGGTATAGGTATTTCTTCATGAAACGCGTAGGCAATTGTTACACTTAGCGTTGACTCTATCAAAATATCATGTTTTTTTGGACGAATGCTGGTATCTCCGCTCACACAGTCGAACATGCACAAAAGGAAGTAGAATCAGTCGATCGCACGAGACAAGGCGGACAGAGATGTGATGGCAAAGCATGGTACGACACAATTCACAGCTGGTATCTCCCGTATGGGGAGCAATCGGGAGTTTATTCTATCAAGACGTCACGTGAATATGCTTCCGACGTCACGAATTGTTCCGAAAATACGGGAAACGCCAGGATAGCATAATCTGCTCGTTCTTTGTATTTTCAGAGGTTCTGGCGTGAAGATTCTTAGGGTGGGGGTCGTTTCCTCATTGTTGTTTGTTGTAGTAGCCACTTATAGAAAGATTTAAGAATTGCTCACTAGATGACGTTGTGTGTGTATGTCCTTCGAAATAATATCACTGGACTGCGTTAGCGGGTTTCGTATAATAAAAAATTCATAGCATATCCATGGAGTGAATGATGATGAGTGGGGCGAAGTGCCGTCTGTCTGATGCGTGATGTGTTAAATAGGAACAGACAGACAGACAGACAGACAGACAGACAGACAGACAGACAGACAGACAGACAGACAGACAGACAGACAGACAGACAGACAGACAGACAGACAGACAGACAGACAGACAGACAGACGGATGGACGGACGGACGGACGGGCGGGCGGGCGAGCGGGCGGGCGGGCGGATGGACAGGTCGATGACGACATGGCCCTCTTTCTCTACTCGGCCGGCCTCCGCCGTCGTCTCCAAGAGCTCTATGACCGCACCGCACGCTTTCTCAAATCCGCCAGCCCCTGCCGTTCTCTCGAAAGAAACGGAGATAGTCACCTCGTTGCGGCAGTTCGTGTGGTGCCCACGATCATCCCAGCCGACTCTTCGGAGCGATGGTTCTGTGCTGCGGCCCTGCTTGCCGTGGCACCTTCGAATTTGCTCTCTCAAGGGGCGCTACTATCGAGGCCAGCCGGACTTCCTATGCGAGTTTTGCGGGCCTCGACCTTCTTCATTTGGCCCGTGTTAAAACGTGCACATCTCTTGTGTCTTGGCTTTCTCGGTGGCTTTCCCGGTTGGCTGCCCGTTGCGATGATACCGGTGCGTGCTGAGGGAGGTGAGGCGAATGCATCCTATTTACCATTTTTATCTTCTGTTATCCTTTCTTTCTAATATTTTTATTACATATTATCGCATTCCTGTACCGACCTGTCGAGGTGTCATCTTAAGGATGGACAGTTACGGGCAGTACTTTTCCTCATTGTAATCACTTTTAGAGAGGGTAACTCCCCGATACTAGCGCAGCCAGGATTCTTGCTCATATCGAGGCCCTCTTACTATGGCCTCCGAGATTGCGAACCGGCGTGCAATCTCGAACGCCATGCTTTATTTGCGTCGTCAACTAACAGTCCTTTATCGGTGCTAGTAAGTGCCATACCGCTCACTGAAAGCGGCACCACCCCGATCGTCAACAGAGAACACTGTGCAAGGGTGAATGTGAGAGAGGTATGAGGAGCGTTTCTACTGAGACTTCTGTCTGGCTCAATAGCGCAGTCAGTACAGCATTTGGTGCTTACCGTCGCGGGTCAAGGATTCGAAGGTTTGGTTCCCGGCAGTAAACGTTTTCCTTGCATCCTTTCTATCGTTCTTATTTGGTGGTGTGCCTTTTATCAACATCATATCCATGATGAAAATACGTCATTAATGTCACGGTGAACCCTTAATAAAACACGTTCGTGTTAAAATGCCGTATTTAATACGCATGTCACAAGCGCATATTTGAGTACCTATTTGTGTGCCATAGGATTTCTGTGCAGCCTCTGGTTCCGCTTTTGCAGCGAAAGCTGTATATGTCTAGGAGAAACAACAAAAAAAAACATTCGGCATCGATGTCACGATTGTCCTCCATTGGCTGTGCTATCGGTTACGTCATTCTTAGCATCGTACTCAAGCACGCACGCCATTGACAGCGCTGTGAGTGACGTCGTCCATCCTATCGCAGCCGTGGCGCCGAGCACGTGTGCATCAATTTCTACTGAGAGATTCCACATGGGTAAGCCACGGACAACTCTAGAAGAGCGCCAACAGTGGAAACACGAGAGAGCTCGGATTCGCCAGGCCGATGGTGCGGTCCGGGAACAAAAACAGGCCCGGGAGGCCGAGCGCCGGCAGCAACTGCGTACTGATGATCCCGCAGCCTTCCAAGCCACGCTGAATCGCGAAAGGGAATGCACGCGCTGGTGGCGAGCGTATCTTGCAAACCACGCCGCCGAATCAGCTCACGATGTCTAACGCTTGCAACATCGGCACACCGAACGAGTGGCGTTGCGGGCATAACAGCGTCAACGTGACGACTGCTGGGGCGTGTTCCCACCGAACGCCCGCTTTCGGCGGGAGCAACGCCTCCTAGAAAAATTGCCCGCAGCTTCCCTCGGGGGAACACTGAGGAGGATGCGGACCATATAATTGGTTAACGGGGTGTTAAAGTGCGACTTACTTGGGTCGATGGCTAAATTGGTTAACGTGGTTGTGAAATGGGGTGTTAAATTGCGACTTACTTGGGTCGATGGCTAAATTGGTTAACGTGGTTGTAGGAGGGGGTGTTAAATGAGTGAACACGTACACACGTATGCGAAAGGGCGGCGCTGGTCGAAGGGACGTCGATCATTGTGTTTGTGGATTCGTTGGAATTCATTTCACCACGACCTTGGACGTCGACGCGCCGTACAAACCAACCGACGAGCGGCAACTGAGCGAGCGAGCGCCGACCTTGAGTATATATACAGCACGACGGCGCATGCACTGTCAGCTGTTGAATGTTCTCGAAGCGCGACGCCACATGCGCGTCCACTGGTGAATCAGGAGAATTGTAGATGTCGAACGCGATGTGTAGAGGAGGAAGGGTGCACAGATGGTGGAGGAGTGAAGCGCGCGCGGTGTGTAGAGGAGGAAGGGATGCACAGATGGTGGAAGAGTGGGCGACGGCGCGACGGCGCATGCGCGCGCGTCAGCTGTCGAATGTTCGAGAAGCGGTGCGGACGGCGCGGAAGGCACACTACAAGGCGCGAGTATAAGATGCTCCGCATCTAAAAACTAAGCCTGGAACGTCACTCTCTTTTCAATTGGGAGCTTCCTGCCAGCGCAATATCTCGGAGGTCATGCCTCTTGCCGCGTGTTGCGACCGTACGCCGCGTGAGACCACTCGCCTCAGTACCGCTCTGTAATGTGACATACAGGTGCTCGGAGGCAACTGAGAGCATTGCTGCGGTCGCAAGGGGCGGCCGCCGAAGGCGTTTGCCTCCGTACCGGATAGGAGGGTAAAATCCGAGGGTAGGGCGGCACGTTTCCGGCTCACGTTCCAGGCACAAATTTTTCTAGGAGGCATTGGCGGCATTTTCTCCAGCGGCACTTTGGCTTCGGCTGCGAGTCTGTGACCGCCTGTGATTCGAGAACAACCTGGCAACGATCAACGGTATCCGGTCTCTACAACAACGGAGCAATGCCATGGAGGCACTCACACGGGGGTTACTGGCTGCTCTCGAGGTCGGTCATTTTCGCGTCTGTGGGACATACATTTCAGCTTTCGCTGGTTAGCCATTTGTACGGAGTGCTTGGGCGGTTATAATTTTATCTAAAGCATCACTTACGTGTCACACGATTAGCTTGCCTTTGCATAAAGAGTAATGACAGTATTGACTTACGGTACGCCACTGTTAGTTTGTTATTTCTTCTTATGCCGCTGACGCCAAAGCAATCTCTACACATACAAGCTTCGCTTCAGAGTTAAACAACTGAGAGTACTATATACCATCTGCCACGGAAGAGCCGTGAGCAGCTCTCCCTAAAACCTAAAAAGTGTTTGTTTAGAAAAAGCACTTAACGATGTCGAGTGCTTCGTACGCAACTATAGACGAGGGTACGCCTATCTTGCACCGAGGCGCCTTTGGCGATATACCCTCGCTCCCAAAGATGCCATAATTTGTATGTAACTGTCAAGGCGCGCCTCGCTAGCATGGCATGCAGTGGCTCTGATGTTTAAAATGCGAAAAAGCGCCTGTTCACGCTGCGCCCGCTTATAAAATGTCATTTAGGTACCACTGAGCTGTCATCTGATGCGACAAGAACCAGCGCAAGCGGAAGATAGTGCCGAGCACTGCCTGTGAAGTTCATAGCGCATCGCGGGAGTCGTGCTGGTGCGGTGTTTTGCGATTGCACATATTTCCGACCACAACGCAAAGCGCTGAGCTTGTCTGCCCGATAGGATATAATTGCAATCAGCAGGAAAACTACGAGCTCGCTGAAGTGTACCAGTAAGTATACTTATTGCGTTTATACAAGTGCGACTCCTGCCCCGCCGCGGTGGTCTAGTGGCTAAGGTACTCGGCTGCTGACCCGCCGGTCGCGGGATCAAATCCCGGCTGTGGCGGCTGCGCTTTCGATGGAGGCGGAAATGTTGTAGCCCCGTGTGCTCAGATTTGGGTGCACGTTAAAGAACCACAGGTGGTCGAAATTTCTGGAGCCCTCCACTACGGCGTCTCTCATAATTATATGGTGGTTTTGGGACGTTAAACACCACAAACCAATCAATCAAGCGTGACTCCAGCTGTTCCACTTTACAGCAGCAATTTGCGTGCAGCATGCGGCACAAAACTATTACCATACTCTTTCGCAGGCCGCATGTCAATAACAGGGTATACGCGTTACGACTCACGCACGGATGCATGTGCCGCGCATGTTTAGTACAACGATAATGGCCTACTATCGCGATAAAAAGAGATGTGAACGGTGTGAAAAGCATGGCTTTCGACTCAG